CAAAAATCAATGCGATTTTTTAGCACCTTCAAGCTTGCACTTTGTTATACTAAAATTAGTTGAGCTATAAAACTGCATACTTAGAATTTTTCTAAAAAATCTGAATAGAAAGTTGCAAATAAGTATGCAAATTTATTGAATTTTCCTGAGTTTTGCACAAAATTTAGAGATTTAGTTTTTATGTTTTTTGGTGTAGGACGAACTATATATTTATAAAAAATTATCGAAAATAAATTAGAATAAAAAACTTTTCAGATATTGCGAAATATTCTCTGTGCCAATACTTTTGTCCGGCACTGTATGTACGTTTTCATTAAAAAATAAAAAAAGCTGGAATGATAAATTAATTTGTCAGAAACTATACGCTCTATCGGAAAGTGATGTATATACGATTTATGGAGAATTTCATTGGATTTCATTTTCCGCATTTTATATTAAGGTTTTTAAATTGGTTCGTAAGATATACGTGATTAAAAGGAACCAATTTTTGCTTTAAGCTGAATAACGGTTAATTGCAAATATGTATTTCGGATACGAAACAAAAACCAAATTGAAATTTGTGATCCAGTGTAATTATCCAGCAAATGAGTCTTATCACTCAGGAGAATTCTTCGAACCTTTTTCCTGTTCCAATTCATTCCCATCGCCATGGTTTAATATGAACTAAAAAATTTCTCTCGCTTTACCTTTATTTTGGCTTACAGAATTTACAGAATCTTTTACAGTTATGGCTATGAATTTTGGCAATCAGTTGCTCATCGTTGACAAATCGAAAGCAACAAAAAACTTTTTTACTGCGCAAATTCTGCAGCATTTCAGTTGAGCATCAGCAACATATTCTGGTCTATCGCTGAATCCATCGTATTCCGATTTTCGTGAACGTATGCATTCAAGGTATATGCTACGTTTGTAGCTATTCGGATTCAGTGATAGCACTTGCATATATTTCACGAAAATCGGACTACGATGGCTTCAGTGATAGCCCGGATTATCAAAAAGGCAACAAGGTCTCAATATTGCGGTAATTATTACGTAGCTTGAATACACCCAACATCTACATATAGTCGTTTAAAGTACAAAACCGAATTGAACACACTAACATTATTGAATGAATTTTCAGGAAAAACTTGCAATGCAATTCGTAATTTTTTGATATTAAATGGACCTATTATCTAGGTACGCGATTTTGCATTTTGCTGATACGCGGTTTTTGTACTTAAAACGACGATATGTATGTATATACGTACATATGTTATTGGGGCCTTTTGCATTGTGACGTTCTGTGCATTCTGCAAAGCATTAATTCTTGATTAACATATCTTTATTTATGATAATGCAAAGCGGCTTACAAGTATTTTTGACGAATAATTTCAAGCAAATTTTTGTTATGGTATATTTAACCTTCTGAGAACTCCCTTGTTTTGCAATATCGTACTACATACATATATATTTTTCTACCTCCACTGTTTTATTGTAGTTTTTTTTTTTTTGAATTAACGCTTAGCAAGCTTTAATGCAAAATATACACCCATTACAAACACCAATACAATGGCCAATTTTCTAAGATTTGCCCGATTAACGCCCTTTATAGAGCGGACAACATCACCGTTGTAAATAAAAACGTTACGGCTTTCTTCAATGAATTCCGCGCGAAGTCGATCATCAAAAGCTCCATAATTATCGTTGAGCACTTGGCGTAATTTATTCTTCAATACAGAAATTTTTTCCGGAAAAAATGTTGCAGCACATCCTACTGGACAAATCGTAACTTGCCTTGGCATTGGACGATGCTCCAAGTCATCATCTATTGCATTCGAATTTGCTGGTTTCGGCTCCTCGTCTTCCTCATCCTGCCTACCAATCCATAGTTTCCTCTTAATCATTCTCTTCTTTTGCAGCAACTGACCCCCTGACATTAAGGCCATATACATTTGGTAAGCATAGGCAAATAACAGCAGCTTATTTTTTGAATTCACTTCCTGCAAATGACCGAGGTACTTCTTAACACTTTCACGCGGTTCATATGAATCCTTCCAATTTTCTCCAAGGAAATATGACAAATCCTGCTCAAATGCGTCTTTACGGTGAAGCTCTTTTGGAAGCAAATTTTCAGGTAGATTTTCTTCAAGAAATTTGTATATTTCGAAAAATGCTAACAAGCCGTCATACCAAACCGCATCATCAGATAATGCTGAAACAAAGTAAATAAATAAAAGTTGTTACATTGGGCCTCATGCATAAAAGGCGAGTTTGAGCTCAAACCTCAATTATTGCACCGATGAAGTGAGCTCACACTCAAGAATTTGTAATGAAAATCTATTTGGGAGCTTAAGCTCACTTTTTATGCATGATTCCGATTATTTGTGCCCTTTGTTACTTACCCAATGCAAATTTAGCATTCACTAGAACATCACTAAGCTTGTGTACATCTTTTGTGGCTTGGCGTAATTCTCTTGTAAAGGTCATATCCACAACGGGTTCATTCGCATCTTTAGGATTTGCTTGTCCTGGTGATATTTTTTCTTCCGCCGAATTTGATTGCGACGCAGTTTCCATTTAGACTTCTTTGTTCTTTATGTGCGTACGATATTTTTACTATATGCTCTATGGCAAAACCAATTTCACATCCGCGGTTGACCTCTGATGTTTGTTTTGGTTTTTTTGGGAGATTGTAAATTGACAGATGAAAAGATTTGAGAAACGAGCAGTGTTGCCATGTTGCTTGACAGTTCAAACTTTGGGCTCTGTCACACGGTCAGTAATTATCCGATATTTGGATCGCGATCCATATTGATGGATTGATGGATCGCGCACGAATGCTACATGTTCAATATTTATCGCGTCAGTATTTGCATAATTTATTTATTTATTTATTTATTTATTACAGTCATTTGACCTATATACATTCACGTATATACATTTGAATTATGTATTGCAATATATAATAAAGGTAAAGTTAAAATTAATGCTTAAAATAAGTTAACCTGTTACACTTTTCCTTCTTATGTATATTTAACTAAGATAGCATATTCTCGATGTTGTTGGAATGGACATGATTCCAAGCAGTACCGTAAATATATTACGTACGATATGCGGTCTAAGTGTGTAATTTCCAGAGCCGCCACAACTGCGGGGTAGGAAAGGACTAGTTTCCAAGCCGCCTCTTATAAACTTCTCTACCGGCAGGCGATCTGAATGGACGAAATCCAGAGTCGCGCTATTTGATCGGACGGAAAGGACTAGTTTCCATGCCGATCTTTTTATTTCATACATTATGGGTGATCTGAATGGACTAGATCCAGAGTCATCCAGCTAGTACGGATGGAAAGGACTAGTTTCCATGCCGGACCTTTCTATCTGATAGCCCATGATTCAATAATACAAGGTTCGATAAACTGACAGTTGTCTCTCTCGCACCGCTCCCTTGGCAGCGGCACGGTGTTGCTTCTTTGCAAATTTGCTTGGAAAAAGTGTAGCTTTGGTGTGAAATAGAATTATAAGCTTTTGTGAAATATGCTTATTTGTATATGCATATGAAGCATACTTAACTGATAAAAACATAAATTGTATTTAAATTGAAGGTACCAACGTTTTCACAATTTTTTATTTGAGCTGGAAGTTCATTGTAACATTTTAATCCCTTATGAAAGATGTTCTTCTTATCTATTTCCGTTTTATACAACGGAAGCCTGAAGCTATTATTCCCTCTGAGTAAATACGAATGGGTTTCACCATTATATCGTAGGATATCACTCAGATAATCTGGAAGTCTACCTTGTTTTATGTTAAACACGAATTTCATAGCGTGATAGAAAATTTGCTGTTTCACGCTCAGCCAGTTTAATTCTGCGATCATTTCCTGTAAGGGTGTGTCGTACCGCTTGTTCAAGATAAATCGCATAGCCTTATCTATTTGTGTGTCGCTTGCTATAAAAAAGATTGTTGGACAGTATATGAAATGTGGTTCAGCTATAGATCTGTAGACCAGAGTCTTATACCTCCTTCCTAAGTACTTACATGATCTTTTCATGAGACCAATTTTTTTACCAATTTTTTCTACTGTGTAGTCAATATGTTCCTCAAATTTTAACTTATCATCGATATAAAATATATACCTAGATATTTGATGATTCTCACTTTCTCAATTACTTCATTTTTAATTTTTAAATTGTAATTATCGGAGCCAAAGTTAGCTGCTCTAGATATGACCATAAACTTTGTTTTGTTCACATTTACTTGCAGTCTGTTTTTACTCACAACCATTTATACAAACAATGAAGGTCTTCTTGCATTTTAGGGCCGGTTGTTCAATGTCTGATTAGCACAAATCGGAGGAAGAAGCTCCGGTTAAGCACAACTACTGCTTTACCGATCACATGTTACATGCATGATGTCGAAATCGTCGATAGTGTAGTGGTAGTGATAACCAGACATTGAACAACCGGCCCTTAATCATTGCATTGGGTGATTACAGTCACTGAGGGTTAAGAGGGTATCGTCGGCGAACAATTTTACCTTACAATACTTCAATACCGAGTTTATGTCGTTGATATAAATATTAAAGAGATTTGGAGCTAACACCGACCCTTGTGGTAGACCAATATCTACTGCTACCTTTGCGCCAAATCAAAGCTGTGGAGTTTATCGTGGTTGGCTACCATGAACGAATGACACAAGATCACGTAAGAACAAGAGAGTGAAAAAAGTCGATTTTTTTAGCGGGTTCTACGCCATCTTGTTTCACTGGAAAACGAGCGAAAAGTAAACAAAGCAAAGAAAACAACGAAAACCAAAATTAGCCAAAATTATTGTCAGCCACTTTAAACACACAATTTAGGTAAAATGATGCAACAAAATGCTTTAAAATGTGTTGTCATGTTGAATTAACTCTTCTTTACTTGAATAAAAGTGTAAAATAGTGGTGCTTGTGATGTAAACAAACGCTCAGCTGGCGAACCCGCTTTCGCAAACTTTTTTCTCAAAACCAGTTACAAATACAACGTCGCGTTCTTACGTGATCTTGTATTTTTGGTTCATGGTTGGCTACCGTCCACAAATATAAATATGCACTCTGCATGGTTTTTACAATATATGCTTTAGGTCGAGTCCAAAAACTCACTTTACTGCACACCTTCCTTTTGGTCTACATGAAATTGCAAATACTGTTAGTACATCCATTTTTTCATGTACTAAAAATCGTACTTACCTTAAGGGCTACATGTCCAAAATTATTGCTACGTGTTCCTAATTAATCAATCTTTGTATATTTACTGATTGTTTACATATTTTTATATGCGTTTTGGCATTTTTCTCTCGTAATTGCACCAAGATGACGTCACGCAAAAATGACGCTCAAAAATCCTCTCTCATTCTCAAGTTCGGGTAAAATCAAGGCGAATTTATGCAAGGTGGTGTTGATGGCGAATTTAGATTTTCGCCGCGGTACTTCCTAATGTCAAAATGATGTGTTTGTTGTAAACAAGGCGAATTCATATTACAACAAACACATCATTTTGACATAAAGAAGTACCGCGGCGAAAATCTAAATTCGCCATCAACACCATCTTGTATAAATTCTCCCTGGATAAAATCTATCCAATATTTATGCGAAAATTATGTACAAAAACCTGGCGTCGCACTTATTTTGCAAGTTGCAGGTAGGTGTAATAAAAACATGGAGGTGCTTGGTGTTGCCAATATATAATTTTTAGAGAAGAAGCCTTATCATGAGTTTCATTTTCCCCGAACCGGTTCACTTTTCACGATTATGTGCAGAATACAAATTTTCGGGTAAAATTTTTTCGGGCGAAACTCAGAATAAGGCAGAAGGTTTTAGTTAATGATGCCAATAACAATAAATGTGAAATTCTAAGTTTTTTACAATTAAAGAACTAACAGCACTTTTTTTCTTTTTTTTTCGGTTAAAAAAATCAGTTTCCGCCTCCGGAATCTTAACGCCGGCGGTAATACGCGTCGTTTGGTACCCCTTTCGGTTATTTTGCACTATTTTTCGGTGGGGACCATGAACTGCACCATGACCTTTATAAAACCTGCAATAATATCTTCCTGACTATTTTTAACTAAATTTTGGAGTACTAGAAAAGACTGACCGTGATCAGCTGTGGGACATAACTTTCAAGTTGCCTCACGATTTGAAAAGAAAAATTGATATCAAGTCGACGTTGAAGTTGTAAAAGGGCGTTAGTAAAATATGTTGATATATTGCAACTTGCTTTTTTAGTTCTTGATACGTGTAACCTCCAAGTTATAAAATTATAAATATCGATGGCCAACATCGAATTTGGACCGGTATCGATGTTTCAAAAACATCGATGCATCGTTTGCATCTCTAAATATTATAAGAAGTTTATACATTGTGTTTACAGAACGCACTTTGTCACAGCTATATTTCGAATTTCGGGTAAAACCAAAATATTAGAATTTAACGAAACTATATACATATTTAGAAAGACATGAACACGTGCAAACGAGAAAAGCCTAAATGCCGTACATGTTTAGATACAACTGATAAGAAGTTCCACTCATTGAATGCAAAACTGATAAAGGGCGAACAGCGAACAAGCCTGGCTGAATTTTTATGGGAAATATCAAAAATGGATGTAAGTAGTATAAATTGCTTAGTCTATGCAGAACTAATATATTCAACGCCCCACAGAATTTTTCGGAAACTGCCAAAAGATTACCGCAACAGATATGTGACAGTTGTTTGCGTAAATTAAAAATTGCATTTTCATTTGTGATGCAAGTGCAGAAGGTTAATGGGAGCATGATAGTTGCCTTGCAAAGGGAAATGCCTATTAATTTTTGTCAAACTGCGGATGAAGCTCGAGAATGTTTTGTAGATTGTAATTCCTCATTAGCTCTCGATTCGCAAGGTAGGTCAATTTGAAGAAGGATTTGCATTTGGAAGTCTAGGATTTGCAGGTTTTGCGGAATTTAGAGAATTTATAGCGGCAGGTGATATAAAAGAAAAAGAAATACTGGACGTGGTCCGCCTCTTTCCACTGATTTCAATGATGATTTTTTTTGGTGCAAATTTATTGGGAGGTGAATAAAAGTGGAATTTTCAATATTTTTAAAAAGGGGTAGGGTAATTGAAAGACCTTTTATTTGATAAGCATATCTATGTATATACATATATGTATAATTAAAAAACGGAATAATGAAAATTTTTTAATAAAAACCTTTTTTTTTAATACATATCAAGAGATATGTTTAAAAGAGCATGAAGATACCTTTAAATTGATAAATAATTTTATATTGCTTAGTGTAAGTACACCTGTGAAGAGTTAAATTAAACAACTGTATAAATTTCTACGTAGTAAGGGCCGGACGTCGCCAACGCAAAATAATTGTTTGCAAAAAATCATACATCAAATTAAAGGTATTTTTACATCCCTTTTATTAGCTCGGGATGTAACTTTGTAATATTCATTCGCCTAAAAGATGCAGCGATTTCTATTCCCAAGTTACATACCTGATGAAAGTACGAATGGAAATTATAATAGCGAGGTTTTAGTTTTTTAAACTATATTTTTTATGCTCTTTTTAATAATCGTATTTTGGCATATATAGTTTAATATAGTTTAGTGTAAGTACAAATGTCAACAGTTAAATAAAATAACTATATATTTCTATGTAGTATTAGTGCAAGTACAACTGTCAACAGTTAAATAAAACAATTAAATAAATTTCTGTGTAGCAAGGGCTATAAACCCCAAGCGCGGCCGAAGGCCGCCTATGCAAAATAATTGTTTGCAAGAAAACATATATCAAATTAAAGCTACATTTATGCTCTTTTTAATAATCATATTTTTACATATTTAGCTAATTACGTATTTTTTTCAAAAAAACATTTTTTTAAAAAATTGTCATAATTTCTTTTTTTTAGTTTTTCTCAAAATATGTAAATAAAATATATATACATATGTAGATATGTGTATCAAGGTCTTTCAAATACCTATCCAATCATATCCCCATTTTGAAAATCGGTTCATTAGCATATGAGGTTTTGAAAATATTGAGAATTCCACCCTCCCACGAGCACCCCGCTATTAATTTCCACAAAAAAAAATACACCATTAAAATCAGTAAAAGGGGGCGGACCACGCCCACTTTTTTTTCTCACCTGCCGCTATACTGCACTTGGTCCGGAATTAGTCCGAAGTCGTTCCCGTACGCCACGTTCACCTGCAAATCCTTGAGAACCGGAACAGGCTATATGATAAATTATTAAATAATGTATTTAAAGATCCTATTGGAATAGCCCGGGCAAAAAAACGGAAATTGTCATTCGAATTTATTAAAAGGTAAATAATCTACTTTATTCTCTAACTAAGCTTTATAAGTGTAAATACATATGAATGTAAACTTATTCAAAATCTCAATTTGATTTGATTGAAGGCAATACATAAATGAAGACTCCGCGGATTCGATTACAACTATATTTGAAGGTAATATACTATTTGTATCAACAAACACTGTACATAGCTGAAACTTATTTTTATATCAACAGGTGGTGAAGAAAATGCAGACTCTAACTCGTGTAAAAATGGATGTCACAAAGGTAAACAGCATATCATTATCATCATCATCAATGCAAAAGACACTTTCTGTACTTTTTCAAAGGGTGTTTCTTAATATTTTTATACCCGAGCGCACTTGTGCACAAGGGTATTACAACTTTGTTCATATAACGGTTGTTTTTAACAGCCTGAATGAATCTAGGTAGATATAGAAAAAATGTACATATAAATACTCAGAATGAATAGTGAAGTCGATTAAGCAGACGTGTGTCTGCCCGTCCGTCCGTCCGTGTACACGATAACTCGAGGAAAAATTGAGATATCTCGACGAAATTTGGTATGTAAGTTGCCCTTTATCCAAGAACCACGCCCACTTGCCATATAACGGTATTTTCGAAAAATGCAAAATACGATATTTCTGTAAATATTGGATCCAAATTGTTGAAAATTAGTATATGGGTAATTCCCAAACCTGTACACTTGGTTATAGCTATATATTTTTTAACATTTATAAATTTATACTCTGAAATCGTTTACTGACGTGAAAAATCTGTACAGAATACGAAACTGCTTTCGGCTCTTCAAAAATTAATTCCTTTTTGTTGAATTTTTGTAAAATATTTTCCAGAATATCACTTTTTAAAAAGTAAGCTAAAGGAATAAATTAGTTCAGAAACTGTTAAAAAAAAGTATACTAACCGATAAGAATTGTACTGATTGTTAATATTAAATTCATGCTTTTTGTTTAATCTTTCTTCGTCATCAATTTCCCATATATGCCTTTTGAACACTCGCGCAGAAATAGGCTAGTTATATATAAAATCCTTTTTCACCTAAGAGTGACATTCTGGAAATATTTCACTTTTTTTGTTTTGTTTTCTTCTAAGAGTTACTTCACCAAAATATAAAAAAAAAAAACAAGGAAATCATTGAAACTCATGAAGTAATAAACAAAGTACTTCTTTTTCTCAACTAAAATTTTCTAATTTCTATAGTGTGTACAACTGTTTTTTACTTTAGCATTTCTAATTTTTACGCTAAATGGGATGAATTAAAAACAATTACACCTTTTTTGGCACTTCGTAGCTAAGTATAGTTGGCAGCCCTGGCTGCCATCCGAATCGTATTTTCGAACTTTCGAAATTGAAAGTTTTTTGGGTAATTTTGTATGAAAATAATCCTGTGTCGGAAGCGAGATAAAATAGGTTTGGACACAACAACCGAAAATCATTGTACAAATAACTAACAAACATTTTATTTTTGTTCGTTCATATAAAGCCGTGGATAAAAATATACGTATATACGAAAGGCAAATTTGTCTTTTCAAAAGAACACCACTAATATTTCCTGCAAACACAGCCCAGAAGTCATTCCCGTACTCAACAAAATGGCTAATAGAGAGCGAAAGTTGGAATGTATTGGATCTTAGGTGTCTTCTTCTTCCTGCCCGAAAATGCTCGGACTTTTTCTCCGGGTCATGATGAAATAAATATATTTCATTATTATTTCACCATGCTCCGGGTAAAAATAGGTCCATTCAATAACTTTTCCAGAAAGTACTTGCAGCGAGAGCGTAAAAGAAAAATAGAGAGTAAATTTGAGAACAAGAGAAAATTTTCAGAAAAAGTTATTAAACGCAAAACTAGTAAAAACTTGCAACTTAAGCCATTTTGACACTTTCTGACGGTTAAGTTTTGGCGGGCAATTTTCTTTTTAATTGGGAATAGCTCCCATCGTCATAAAAAAAATATATATAATAGATTAAATTTTTCATCCATATTTTCATTTCAATAATTATAGGAGTGTTCGCTATGCAGCTGCCAGTAAGAATTAGCCAGTAACAAAATTCAGAGAATAAGGTACCTTACTCTCCCAAAGAGAGAAACTTACTAAGTTTTGCGCGAACAGGAATTAGCAAACATTTGCAAGCTTCCCTGCCAGCTGGCTTCCACGGTTGCATTTCGAGCATAATAAATTTTTTAAATTATTCCAGGTAGAAACCAAAACAGGACCTATACGTATATTTCTTCTTATTCTGACTTTCTTCAACATACGCTTCAATTTCTTTGTGGAAGTCACTGTCGGATTTCCTATATCGACAGTGGTGTCGAGTGTGTTCCGATTACGAATACAGATTTTTCAGCCGAGTACCTTCCAAATGTTTGGAATTAATTAAATTAATTGAATAAACGAATATTTACCTACTTCTTTCATTAGTAAATCGCAACAAGATTGTTCATTTTTAAATTTAACGAATTCGGTGATTCAAATTAATGTTGACAAAAATGCAACCGTGTGCCACAATCCTGCTTGCAAATTCGTGCTGGGAAAATTTTTGCCTTCCCCTCCAAATGAAATGTCAAAATTGTGATCTCTCCTTGCAAGTTTTACTGGGTTTTTGGCTAAACGAATACGATTTGGTAACAATTGGTACCAACTTGTACAAATTTTTTGCATAGCGAACACTCCTTATGTTTCATCAAATCATCCTCTTAACCAGTTTGTTTACACTTGAATTTGAAACATAACCTTACTTTTGGCTCCTGCAAATTCTTGCTAGTAAAATTTTTACTAATACCTAATATGTAAATCGATAGGTTCTTTCCCTAACAATCCGCACCGGATCCGGTAATTAGAAAGCGAAAAGTTTGCTCTCAAAAATGGAACGTAGTCCAGAAGTACGGGAACGCAAAAAACCACATTGAGTGCCCAGAATTTGAGAAACAGTTGATTCACGTTGTTTTTGTTCTTGCTACTTAAATGCAAACACTTGGAAATTGAATTTCGGTTTCGCAAATTTGATTTTAAGTATATAAGTATTGAAAATACATCAACAGGCCATTCACTATTCCTTAAAAGCCCTAAGTAAATGCAGACGACATGTAAACACAAAATAGCTGATATGGCACTTAGACAGGTTATCCATTTTTACCCGGAGAAAAAGTCCGGGCTGTTTCGGGCAGGAAGAAGACACTTACGATCCAATACGTCCAATTTTCGCTCTCTATTACCCATTTTGTTGAGTACGGGAATGATTTCTGGGCTGTTTTGGACACCCGCGGGATCCCGCGTTGCGTACGGGAAAGAACCTGATGTGTGTTAGCAGGAAATATTAGTGGCGTTCTTTTGAAAAGACAAATTTGCCTTTCGTATATACGTATATTTTTATCCACGGCTTTATATGAACGAACAAAAAAGAATGTTTATTAGTTATTTGTACAATGATTTTCGGTTGTTGTGTCCAAACGCATAACCCGAATCTAAAAACTTTAACATCAAATGAAAGGATTTAATTTAACATAAATGTTTCAAATCCCCGAGCAATAGTTTATTAATAAATTCGGTTTGCACTATGCACTTTTTTGTAAATTTCGATGTGGGTTCTGCGCAAAAATACTGTGGATGGCGTAGCCGGAGTTATATGCACAAGAAATGTGGTACGCCTTTGACATGCGGAAGCCCCTCTTCTCCGGCAACAAAGAAAGAAGAATTGTACGCAACAAGTGGTAGACCCAACAAAGTGCATGTTATGCCCGACTTATACTTCTTTACTTGTTGTTAGTAGAGTTGGGTTGAGTGGGCATGTAAAGGGTTGGTTGGTGTCATGAGGGGATTTACATATATTTGGCCCAGGGCTGTCTGTCACATTCCCAAAAACTGCTGTTTACAACAATAACATGGGCACTCTTCTTGTGGTTACCTAATATTTCATTAGCTTGCTTTCTTATGCCCCCTTTACAAAATTTCAAAACCAAGTCTTTTAAAGAACATTATTCATTTGCACCATTTGAACATCCATGTAAGCATTTCATGAGTTAGTTAAAAAAGTGGTTTGATTCTGTCAAACTTCAAAGAGTCAAATGCGGCCTTTTGCATTGCTGATGTCGATATGTACAAGAAGTTAACTGATCGAAAACTTCTGTAATTCTTGCAATAGAAATTCTACATACCCTGAAAAGTATTACAGATCGCTTGGATACCGTTGAAGGAAACGTAAGTATTTAACAAAGAAAAGAAAGTGTTTCTTATGTCATAGGTACTCAAATTAGAACTTGAATATTTGTTGATCAAAAAGAAACCTTTTGTGAATATGTATTTAATAACAAACTTGTACTATACATATGTACATAAAATTTGATAACAAAATATTTTTTATAGCAAAAGATCATTACCACAAACCAGGGCATATTGTTCAAACAAGTTAAAAAAGATGAAACGAATGTAAGTTGTAATGTTACGAACTTAACTTTTTATGATTTTTATTAGGGATGTGCGATTAATCAATTACGGACGAGCTGATTTATTCATATGCATGTATACGTATATGTACACTTGTGGACAGCTGATTAAGTCAAGTGTTATTATAACTAGTTTTGGCTGTTTTTCTTGTGTTCATTTCATGTTTATATTATTTTATAAAATTTTAGCACTTTACCTAACCAGCGCCACAAATCCACATTTAAAACTTTGTACAAAAATATGAAAATTCAACAAACTTTAGCATTTGCACCCAAAAATTTTAAACTTTTCATTCAAAATTTCTAGAAAAAAAAGTGCAAATTTCAAGACGCTAGAAAATCGCGTTGACTTTTAACAGTGGTTTTTTGCTGATGGTGCTAGGCATTTTCTCCCATGCAAACGAACTTGTCGAGCATACTTTATACGGAAGAAAATTCGGACACCGTCAGCCAAAAAAATTACTTAAAATCATACCCAAAATTTCTCTAAAAATTCTGAATAAAAATTTTCAAAATTTCCGGTGCAAATGTTAAAATTTGTTGAATTTTCATAATTTTTGTACGAAATTTGAAATGTGGATGTGGAAGATCTTGACTTTTATAAAAAAAAAAAATATAAACAAAAATTCATAATCCTGATTAATCAAAATAATCGCACTCCCTAATTTTTATTAAACTATCCTATATACATATGTATGTATGTACATACATTTCTAATAAACTATATTTTAAGGTGATTGAGAAGGAAGAAAGCCACTTGGTAAAAAAAAACATCAGGCGACAGGTGTTTGTGCAGAAAGTTAAACCATTAGTCCAGTCGCCGTTGGTTACGAGACAATGCAAAGTTTTCATAAAAAAGATGAAACAGCCGCTATGCATCAAGGAAGAAAAAGGAAATGTTTATGGCAATAATGAATTATCCATACGTTTACCATTCGATTCGCATGCTTCTATTTCGCGTATGGAAGAACAAATAGAGAAATACCCAGAGTACGCCAAAGCATTGGTAATTAAATTGTGTGCATTTGTGCTTTAAATTTTATAAAGTTAATGTAAAACTTTTCTAAAGACGGCAACCTTCGAAAAATTGAGGGGCTTTTCCGAAGACGTTTTCACGGTAATGAGGAAGATTTTCAGTGATGATGTTTTATGGGATTATAACTGGAATGGTAGCTGGCGAAAAAAGGCCTTCCGCAAATTGAAAGTTCTCAACATTCTAAGAGGTTTATACTTATAGCTCATTTACTGCAATAGTGTCATAACTCAAAAAAAAAGGCAAAACTTGAGAAAACGGCTTTAATGTTTTGAATTTACATATACTTCCATAGTAAAAATGAATACATGTTTTGTTCTAATGAGATACTGGCAATCGATACGGCTATGAAATTTTTACACAACAAGAAGAGGTAGCGCTAAATTCTACATAGTCAACTCGAAATTTGTATTTTTTGAATTATGGCGCTATTGAAGTAAATGAGCATTATGTTACATGATAGGTCAAAACTGTATATTGGTTCCTTTTTTCCTTAGATGTCTTTAAAATGCAGCCATATCACAGCTTTGAACTAAGCCTCAAGAGGAGCTTTAATGCCAGTCGCAAAAGTACCTTAAGTAAAAACAAGAATGTACATATATATTAAATTTCAACCAAAAATCATGCTGAAAGAGATATGCATGCATAAAAAGTAAACAATATATTTTTACCTTAATTTAGAAAGGTCCTGTCCTACTTTTTTGTTTCGTACTTAACAAATTTTATAAAAACCAAAGTTTTTCAGTGTCGAATTTTTTCAAATCACTGGTTTTTAATAAACACTGAAACTAATTTAATGATGTAGTAAGTGTTTTTTAATTCTTTTTGTTTCTGGGTGAGTACTCTTCCGACTCTTGTATAATCGAAATTTCGAAAGAAAATGGGTTAGGGGTCTAATAATTTTTATGGAGGTTTATTTATTGCTTGAAAAATAAACGCTGTTTTTGAGTTTTATTAAGTTTTATCTTGCTCAAAAAATAAAACAATTTTGGGAGTTTTTTTTTGTAACTATGTTGATTTATAACGTTCGAATCGTTCATATTTCGCTTATGATTTCTATCTATTCATCCTTTTTTAGTACCTTGAAAAAATAAAAATAAAATAAAGAGGGACGGTAATCATTATGAGTAAAATAATTTAAATCAGCATTTAATCATTATTTTATGAGTTTTATTTTTTCGCAATAAAATAATAATTATTATTGATTTTTATTTTTTTGCTCAGCGGAAAGAATTAGTATTTGATTTTTATTTTTTCGATCACAAATAATGATTATTTTATGATTTTTATTTTTTCGCTCAGAGATAATAATTATTATAGAGTTTTACTTTTCCACTTCAAAATAATGATTATTCATAAAATTGAAAAGGCTATACAGACCCAACTTACGGAAACTTTGACCTGAAAACTTTGAGGCTTATTCCTTTATTAGGATGTCGCTCCCTCTGAAAAGGATACGGCGGAAATCGCTTTGGTATAGCTTTTGATTTTTGTGAATGATCATTATTCTTAAGTGAAAAAAAAATAAAACTCAATAATAATTATTATCTTTGAGCGAAATAATAAAAATCTTAAAATAATCATTATTTTCGATCGAAAAAATAAAAATCAAGTAATAATAATTACTTTTGAGCGAAAAATTAAAACTCGCATATTAATTATTATTTTTATTCTTTATTGGTTAAACTCGAAAAATAAAAATCATTGTAAATTACAGTGGGACGTATGAAAACAAATACGTGGGTATAAATAAAATTGTTTTACGACGATTACAACTTATTGATTTTTTTGGTTAAAATTTAAAAAATAATGATTATTTTCCATCCCTGAAAATAAATGAATTTTATAGAAATTTTCGAACTTTCCAGCTATTCTTATCGCTTTTTTCTACCCGGAAATGTTTAACTAATGAAAACAATCTTTGGAAATTTAAGCAGACAAGGTGAAAGATTGAATTGCAATTGTAAATAAATTCTTACTACAAAACGTATGCGATTATGAAGGCCTATCGCTTTAAAAGATCAGAAAAGAAAGACTTCGAAACTTTGAGCGGAAAAATTTAAAAATTATTTTGAAGAGTACCGTTCACTTTTTAGAGGTGCTTTTAATTTTGTCGGTATAAAAGTGCTGCTTTTTTTAGATTTTTCTTTGCAATTAGCTTAGTTTTTCGTGGCCATCTGGGCACACTTAGGGTCAAATTCACAGTGCGTGGTTAACTCAGAAACGGCAGTTAACTACAGATTTTTGTAGTTCGCGAATGAAGTTTGGAATGCAATTTCTCAAAAACGCGAAGATAGGTTTTCTCCAAAGTCTCTGAAAATGTTACTAGCCATTTTTAAGATTTGATTAGTTTAATATGATTGCATCACTAACTAAATTTTTACTTTTTCCTGCAACCCTGCGTGAGTTGAGTGCAAAAGTTGCCTGAAATATCGCCGCGTGTGAAAGCCCCATAAAAGTGATGTGTTTCGGAGTCGCTTGGAGGAAATGGAAGTGGTTATCGAAGTGATGACTTTCAAGCACAATTAAAGCGCAGTTAGTCAACGCCGTAGCGTAGACGTAGGTTGACGTACGTAGCAGCATATCAAATATACTGTTGATAGAGAGAGAGAGAAGCAACGGCAACGTAACGTTGGTGAGTTTTCGTTAAAGTGTGTTTGCATTGTTCAACATTTGCGTTCAACTCAGCGCAGGGTTGCACGAAAAAAGTTGAATGGCTAAAAATATCAAAATATGAAAAAACATCAAAATATTCGCCATAAAAAGGTGTTTTCATTGAAGTAATATATTTCAAAGAAATTTTTATTTATTTTGGAGATAAATCTAATTTGTGGAAAGTGAAGTAAAATGAAGGGATGAAGTGAAGGCTTCCAAAGTGATGTGAAAAACTTCAATTGAAGTGACAGCGGCAGCACTGAATGGGGTAATTCGCGATCGTAATTGGGGGAGCGAACAAGGTAATTCAGTGTGATGTGAAAAAATGGTATAAAACTCTTTGAAGTGCTATCGATTACATCAAAGTTACAGTTCTAAAAGCATCGATTGATATCGGGCAATTAACGAAAACTATTGTGAGATACTCGTATTGTAAAAGAAGAAGAGTGTTTGCAATAAATTTCAGTTTCCAATACATCCCGCAATTTAACTAAAATATACGGGTAATAAATACTTCATGCCTTAGGAAGCAAGCGTATAATCTACGAAATGATNAATATATCCCGCAAATGAACTAAAATATACGGATAATAAATACTTCATGCCTTAGGAAGCAAGCGTATAATCTACGAAATGATGCACATTTCCAAGACAGTGCAGCTGAAATGCCGTACTTGTTTAGATGCCACAGAAAAGAAGTTCCACTCTTTGAATGGCCAACTTGTGAAGGACGACCAACGAAAGTCTCTGGCCGAATTTCTGTGGGACATATCGAAAATGGATGTAAGCAATATTCCCATATGAATACTATATATGTTGCCATTTAATAAATATACGAATCCTACACTGAACAGAATGCTTCGGATAGTGCCAAAATGTTACCACAACAGATATGCGATAGTTGTTTGCGAAAATTAAAAATTGCATTTTCATTTGTGATGCAAGTTCAGAAGCTGAATGGGTGCATATTATCCAAGAATGATGAAAGTGCCACTGCGGATAAAAAAGAACATGCCCGCATGGACTACCATGATGAAGCTCCAGAATGTTTCGTCGACTGCAATACATCATTTTCGCAATGCCTGGAAGGTGGGTCGAAAGGGGTACGGTTCGATTATTTGTACAATAATTTTGGGTTATTGCGTCCAAACGGGTGACGCGAATCAAAAACGTACCCGTATGGTTAAAGAACTAAATTTAAATTCAAAACAAAATTTCAAATTTCCGAGCACTAATTTGTTAATAAATTCGGTTAGAAATATGCACGTTTTTGTAAATTTCGGCACAAAAACACTGTGGTAGGTGTAGACGGAGTTAAACTTATGAGGGTTATGTTCTTGTGCGCGGCCGAGGACGCAAAAATACTGTGGTCAATGCTGCGGGAGTCCATGGCCATCAAAGCGAAAAGGTGTTCTGCGCCAAAATACTTTGGTCAGCGTAGCCGGAGTTGGGGTTACTATTTTCAAGGCAGCCGAAAGTCATCCCATGGTAAATCAAAGAGCGGTGACTTCTAACAGTATTGACAGTGCTCTTTTCTCCGCCCTCCGCCCTCCGCCCTCACACCAAAACTATTGTACAAATAACCGAACACTATAATAAGCTTGTTTCCAGAACTCCAGAATTTGCATATTATCAGGATTTAGAGGAAAACTTGTTTCCACCATTAATAAACCTTGTGAAAGGTGGTGTGCTAGATCAGCATTCCTGTAAAACCTGCAAATCCTGGAGTACCGGGAATTGAATACTGCAGCCGGATTCCAACATTTGCTATCGCTAATTCTGATCCCTAAAAATCTCCAAAAGAATAGCAGACGCCCTTAACAACACGCGACATCTTGTTGCATGCCCGCAAGGTGCCAGATTTGGCCGATTACGCATCGCTTGTGTTGCTCTTTCATGTAGTATACTTTTAGGCCCTACTGCTTTTCAGTTAAAGAGTTTTAGCGAGGAAAATTTAGCGTAGCGATTGTCAGAATTCCACTGCTCCTCAACTAAGTTTACCAGAAGTAAATGCTTACTTTTATATATATTTTAAGATCCCATAGCCATTTCACAGCCACGAAAAAGGAAGTTTTCTTCGGAATATAGTAATGACTGGGAAGAAGACCACCAGGAAAGGTAAATATATATTAATATGTATATGTGTGCGCTTACGCTCATCGGGATACACAATTTGAACATTTAAGGCGTCAATATTTCAGTGAAGATTCTGCAGCTTCGAGCGCATCAGGATTAGAAGGTGTCTGCATACGTAGTTGCTTTATAAATAAATAATAACTGAAATTTAATATCTCTCAACAGACAATGTAAGGGATAGAAGAAACCCAAAATATTGTAAAAATGAATGCCACAAAGGTAACCAAATATGTATGTGCACTAATGTATATATACCGATTCATACGTATTATATTATTATTATAGAAATGAAATCCATGCTTCATGATTTGATGAACATACAGAAACAGATTAACACCAGAGTTAAAGGTGTTGTACTATATACCGACATTAATGTAAGTTTTAAATTAAAAAGTATGTACATATCTATCTATAATATGAAATATAATACATAAATGTAACAACAATTATTTTACAGTTGCCTGACGAGGGGGAAAATACTAGCCAGAATAAAAACGTAGCGGGGAAAGACAAAAAAAGATTTCTATCAGGCAACCATAAGTCTGACCAAGGTGACCGTAGGGAATCGGTACGGAGTTGGTTCCCAATATCTTCCATCGAGGAGGCACTAAGAGTTGAGAGAAAATTACGAAGCCATGATTATGCACAAGATGTTGTAAGCAATTAATTATTTATTTTATAAAATTTTGCATTTATTCATATGGGAAGCAGATTGCTTATTTAAAGGGCATGAAAGGATATGGAGTTGGCGACGTTTTACGCTTTATTTTTAAAGATGATCTGGTAGAGCAATATAATCTCGACGGAAGACATGGGAAGTTGTCACTTAATAAATTTGATTCAATTTTAAAATGCGTTCAAAGTAAGAAGTTTTTCCAGCCATTCCATAAAAAGAAATATAAATTCAAATATATTTTTTGTTATTTCGCAGCCATATTTTCCAATCTACCTTCCAATGAATTTTTAAGAATGGTTCGTAAATATGTAGAAATGTGTCATAATCGAAATAAGCAGAAGAGACGTAAATTGAGGAGAACACAAGATTTCACCGGCGAGGCAAAACAGATAGAATTTCGTGATGAAATAACGGTACGCATAAC